CAAAACAGGGCTAAAGCGATAGGTGGGACTTTGCAGAACCCAAAAACTCATGCGGCGATATCTCTAACGGATGGCCGTATTTTTGGAAAACAAATGCGCGATTGAACACGGCCGACGAGGCCGACGAGTCATGTGACGTCACGATTCTCATTCCCTCTCCTTCGCTTCGTCCCCTTGAGCAGGTGAGCCGAAGCGCAGAGGAGAGAAGCGAGGACGCTTCCCCTCATTCTCAACTGTTCCAAAGGATCGTGACGCCAGAGCCCTTGCTTGATTGCGCTCTCCTTTTCCAAAAAGACGGCCATTCATTTGAGATATCGATGTATGAGTGAGGTTTTGGAGTTCGTAGCGTCCCGTTCAACGCTTCTGTGGCTTTTTGCGAAATCCAAATTTTGGTTCCGTATGAGAGAAAAGAGAGAGTAAGTCGTGAGTCAGCGTCGTGTCTGTGTCCTCTATACTTGTCCGTGTGTGTGCGTGTGTTTTTTTCGCTGTTTTAATTATGTTTACTATGCACTACCGACCAGTGTTGCGGAATGGGCACGCCCATTCCATTCCAATTCCATTCCGGGGAATAGAGGTTGCGATAATTCAATTCCTTCAACTCCTACGAATGGGGGCACTGAGCCCATTCCCACTCCTGGAATGGCTTAATCGTTCCATTCCATTCCTCTAATTCCTAAACGTAAAAATTGGCTCTTGACAGCTACAATGTGTGTTGCCGGCATAAGCACCATAACGCTGACATTATCAAACGCGGGAGGCACTCACTTGATCGAATGACGTTTTAGCGAACGCCCACGTTTCATCGAACGACACTTTAGCGAATAGTCGGACGCCGCGAAGCGGCGTTTTCGGGTGGGCCAAATGGGTTCACATTTTTGTAATGAGTTGCCGAAGACTGTCGCCGCGAAGCGGCGTAAAGCGCAGCGCGACGGATGGGTTAACGCGCGCCCCCGTTATTCGCTAAAACGACCATTCGCTCAAATGTCGCCGTTCGCTAAAATGTCATTCGCTCTTGTGATATGGATCAAACGCATAGACAATTGCAACAAAATGCAAAATGCCTAAAAAAAGCACTGATTTTATTAAGTGGAGCACTGGCGGCACAAAGTGTTTGTTTACATTGTACTGCAAACATCGAGAAAGCCCCTTGATATGTCGACGCGTGTTTAAAACATCGGTCTTTCGGCCACGTGCCTCGCTACAAACAGTAAAACGTAAATCCACTAATTTTTTTAGCAAACGTTTTTTTGCATTTGTCTTCTAGGACATATGCGGCCAGCGTGTTTGTTTGATAAGACCATAAACATATCCAGTTTGTGCGTGGCGCAGAAATAAGCTATATTAAGTACTGTATTCTTCAAATACCTGCACAGCAATACGGCTACTACGCTGCTGGAAGCGACTCCATGCACGGTGGCAGGAATACATCCTTTGAAAAAGTGCAACCTCTACGGCGCAGCGCGAGAGACCATGTCACGAAACAGTCTTTCTGCAGGTCTAGTCAGTTCGGTCTTGCGACAAGAGCGGTGACGATAATCTACTTCAACTTACGATGGACCGCACCAGACAGCACGAGAGCCATCGAAACCAATCCAGTGCCTTCTGAGTGTCGCGTGACCCTGGGGCGCAGCAACGCGCCGTGCGTGTAGTCCCCCTCACGGTGGCTGGATTGCCTGGGGTGACTCGTAGCGTCTGCAGCGGTCCATCACAAGGTGAAACAAAGTAGGCAGAGTCTAAATTTAGACTCTGCCTACTTTGTTTCACCTTGTGATGGACCGCTGCAGACGCTACGAGTCACCCCAGGCAATCCAGCCACCGTGAGGGGGACTCTAGTTCAGACAGTCATACCTCGGCAAACCTCACTCATAAGGGCCCTCACTCACCCTCACTCACCCTCATCTTCACAGGTGAGGTGAGGGTGAGTGAGTTTCTGAACCAGGAAAATTCATGAGTGTGAGTGAGGGTGAGTGTGGGCCGTGAGGGCCGTGAAGGCGGTGAGGGCGGTGAGGGCCGTGAGGGCGGTGAGGGCCATGAGTGCGTGAGGGGCGTGAGGGCAGTGAGTGGCGTGAGGGCCATGAGTGCGTGAGTGGTGTGAGGGCGGTGAGTGCGTGAGGGGTGTGAGGGCCATGAGTGGCGTGAGGGCAGTGACATGAGAGGCGTGAGGGCCGTGAGGGCGGTGAGTGCATGAGGTGTGTGAGGGCCATGAGTGCGTGAGGGCGGTGAGAGCGTGAGGCGCCCTTCAGATCGAGCATCTTTCTCAGCAATTTTGGTATTAATGGCGGGTTGTTCTCTAGCTTTCCCTAAATCGACACGAATTGCTGAGATCGGGTCCGGCTCGAAATAAGCGAGCAACTCGGAGCAATTCGAAGACGTTTGAAGCGGCTGCATCCAATGAGCGACGCAAAATGTTCACGTGATACCTCGTGCCGGTGATGATGACACCGAAAGACTTGGTTCTGGTATGAAATCGATCGTTTTTTTGGAAATAAACTGTTTCAGAAAGGTGCATTGGTATTCTTAACGAGATTTAAATGCATAAAAACACGTTTATAACGCGTAATTGTGTCTAAATAGTGCAAGAAAAATAAAATTTTATGAGGACGATTGCAAATTGCAGCAATTGGTTGCTGCGTGTGATCGCGGGCGGCCCGTGTTGCTGGTGTTGCGACGTAAAGTTTCTGGGCGCAATTGCCCTATCTGAAGCTGGCCTGAGTGGCGTGAGGGCCACGAGTGCATGAGGGGCGTGAGGGGTGTGAGGGCCGCAAGGGCGGTGAGGGGCGTGAGGACGGTGAGTGGCGTGAGGGCGGTGAGTGGCGTGAGGGCCGTGAGGGCCGTGAGGGCGGTGAGTGCGTGAGGGCGGTGAGGGCCGTGAGGGTGGTGAGGGCGGTGAGTGGCGTGAGGGCTATGAGTGCGTGAGGGCCGTGAGGGCGGTGAGGGCCGTGAGTTCGGTGAGTGGCGTGAGGGCGGTGAGTGGCGTGAGGGCCGTGAGGGCCGTGAGGGCGGTGAGTGCGTGAGGGCCGTGAGGTTCAGTGAGGGTGAGTGAAGGGCTGAAAGTGAGTGTGACTGTGAGGGTGAGGATGAGTGAGGTGCTGAAGGTGAGTGTAGCTGTGAGGGTGAGGGTGAGTGAGGGGCTTAGGTGAGTGTGGCTGTGAGGGTGAGGGTGAGTGAGGGCGACCTAAAATGCCGACCTCTGCAGACAGTTGCGTTTGACTGCGTTTGACTGCGTTTCGGCAGCGAGAAACCAGGACATCCCTGCTGCTTGTATCACGTGCCAAGGTGATTCCTTGAATTGGATTCCACGCTTCATACGAAGCGCAGATGTGACGGTGACTCGCTTTCGGTTCTCGACGCAACGCAGTCGAGAACCCACTTGAATGTAAAACATATAACACAGAAAACAAGCATCGGAACAAAGACCAAGTAAAAGGTGGACTTACACGTAACAATGCAGAATAAAAAAACAAGTGTCGGAGCAAAGCGCAAGAGGAGAAGAGAGAAGTGATTTTTGATTTGTTTTATTGCCGAAGCAAACCCACAGTTCGCACTTCAAAGGAGTGCGCGCGAATGAACGTGGAAGGCAGCAGGTTTGGCCGCCTGCTAAACAACGCTCCTCGAACTATAAGAAAACAATAACTGGTCATCTTTCGGCGGCGCGCGAGTCAACGAGTTGTCAGAGCTCTGCGAGTTACGAGTCGTCCCCCGCTCTGACATCTCAGTCTGTGCGCGCGTGTATCCTCCATGCCTTCGTTTCTTTTGCTTAGTGCTTGGCTTGTTTCGCTGGCTCTCGTGTAAAGCGCGAAACACATGTACGACGAAACCGTCTGATCCGACGTCCGACCGCGCAATACGACGGTCGGAGGCGAGGGTTTTCAACGCTCTTCGATGCTACGAAAACCCTCTCCCCCCAAGGTCATTCCGGCAGTCCGCACGTCAGATCGGAACGTTTCGTCGTACATGTGTTTCGCGCTTAAAGGGCAACTCCGCTTCATTTTTGGTTTTGAAAAACAATGCAGTCCTCTTCAGTATCGCCTAGAAAGACCACACGTCAAATATTACGACGCAGTTCTGTCTAAATGTTTCTTAAACGGTCCGGCAAACTTTGCAACTCGCCAAGTTGCCGAAATCGGCTGACTCGAGCGGGCGAATTCAGGCGCAACCAACAGCGCAGTCAAGGCTACGGCATGGGCGGAGCCAACACTGAGCTAAACGTCATCACCATGGCCCCCTTTTGCTTGTTTTTACTTCTCCGAGCGCCGCACGTAGCAGTGCGTTTTTATTTTGTTGCCTATGTGACCAGCTTTAGTTTTCAAATAGGAAATTCGTAGTTATGTAAACCCATGTTTACTGTACCAGCTAGAAACATTTCAGCTTTTTTCAGCAGTCTAATAAAAATAACAAAAAAAAAGCGTGCTAATTGACTTGTACTGATTAAAGATACGAAGACGGACAATAAAGCCTTATACTTCAGCAGAAACTGAAGGTCATCACGCAAGAGAGGCAGTATATATTTATCGATGTTTCAATGACTCCTAACCTGCCACGTGCTTATGTTTCCTGTAGTTTTAACCGCGGAAAGTTTAAAGAATCATTGTCCGATAAAATGTGCGATAGCAACCTTGCGTAGACTCTCTTCCCGCTATGTTTACAAGCAAACGATTTGAGCTTCCAAAAATGTATCTAATCTTTCATCGTTGCGGGGCGTGGGAAGAGAGACTATCTGTTCGTGTAAATAATCGCGATCAAGTGCACGCGGATGCTTACACTTTCCGTCGAGAAACTTTCCGTGAGAAAGCGGAACATGGCCACCCGAGACGTGTGGTCATGTGTGGAGATCTTGTTGGTTTTGCTCTTTACAGACATGCCTCGTTTCATTCAAACAACGAACTGTCACTGTCACTCGCGAGAAGGTTTCGGTTTCGGTTTTGTGTCAAAGCGCCCCCTTGCGCGTAATACGCTAGCTTGTCTGCTCGGTTTTTTTTCTTCGTTTGTATCGCGCGTACCTCCATCAGTGTTTGGCGGTGCGCGGGGGGAGGTGTTGCGGCCGCAAGTTTACATGAGCTCGTCGATATTACCTTGATACATCTCGTGAGTGTTTTTGCATCCATCTCTTTTACGAATTTCGAGCTAGTTTGACTAGCGTCTCAAGACGGCTTTTCACGGCCTCGCAAGGTTTTCTAGCTCGCAAGTGTGACGCTCGATGACAAACAGGTGCTTGCATGTCTCACGTGATTGCTTCGCATGTCGACGAAGATTTTTATCTTCCACGTTTGCATTACCACTTTCACATGTCTGGCGCGACAGCACGTTTGACGTGCTTGTTCTTTCTATGTAACTATGTCGCCCGTTTTCTGGGAGAAGTAACTGGTTCGAAATTTGACCAGTACATGGATACATGAATCAGCTGTTCCTGCTTTTGAGACCCAAGTAAAAGCTGATTCATGTCTCGCTTTACGACTTACACGTCTTTGTCTGCTGTCCCAAGCAACTAACTGACGCAAAAGCACTCGTTTAAGTACTGGAGCCGTGCCCAGATGCGTGTATCTGTGTTTCTCTGACTGACAGCGAGTAACTAGCTGTCAGTCAGATCTGATCCCCGGATGAACTACCTCTCCACGCGTTGATTGCACTGCTCTTTTTTCGTGGTATTGTTGTTGCCTAACTCGGTAATGACTACGCTGATTTATATAAATTTGCGTGTTCATTTGGGGACATAGTAGCACTAAAAGAAGAGACGCCTGAAAAACTAGTCAACCAAAAGAAAGCGGTCAGAAGGAATGCATGTGCCACTAATCAAACATACTAAAATGCTTATTACTTATTCTTCATTCAGAAAACTGCAGCACCTGGAAAGCATTATTGCAGGGGGCGAGTAATAATTAAGAGAAAGTTTGAGCATTTTCAGCACAAACTGTACTTCCTTCTAAGGCATTGCAGTCTTTGACCGCCCTAGCAAAAAACAAATTTCTACAGAGCTCTCTCCTGGTACAGTATTCGCGTGCCTTGTGCACATGGTCAGTCCGTTTGGACAAATAATTTGGTTTTAAGAGGTATGCTGAGCTATTAATACCAGTAGCTCATGGTAAATTGTTTCTCAAAATTTCGAACATAATTTATTTCGCCGAAGGTTCAATGGCCACCATCCTCAGTGACGGCACCGGATCTTTCATAGTGGGGGGTAGTGGGGAGGCGCACCAATTTTTTGGGGAGGCAAGAAGTTGAAAATGTCCGATATGGAGCCTCTTTAGGCTGGGTACTCTTCAAGCCAATGCTTTTTCTACGGGACAAGGAAATTGGGAAAGTGACGAGGCCATGTAGTGTGCTCGGGTGTGCACACCGAGGAGGGGGGGGTAAAGGCTGGTATATTTTGGGGTGGCAGGACAAATTTTAGGGGAGGCGCCCACCACCCATCGCCTCTCTTTGTCGCCGTCCCTGACCATCCTAGTGATTGTTTCATCTTAGTTACACTAGAAAAACAGTCATGCTGGCCCAGGACAAAGTGTGCAGCATGATTTTGTATTTTTTCCAAGCCATCAATGCAATTTGTTTTTTTGGAAGGGTCCGACAAAGTGCATGCATGATCTAGAATTGGCGTGCATGGCAGAGATATACTATAGTCGGTGACAGGTCAAGAACGAAGTGAATGCTTTTCCCACCTCTTTCCAATTTAGTAGTGCAAACACTGGAGAGGTGACATCCTCTTCATTGTTCGCTCCGCTGAAGTGGAAAGGGGTGGGAGGAGCTTCCACTCCATTCTTGACCTGTCACCGACTATAGTATATCTCTCCCATGTATGCTGGCAGGCGCACTCGCGTACGGGTTTTAACCTTTCTGCACAGCCGTGCACGCCACTCAGGATCAGATTTTTGTATGCAAATTATTATTATTATTATTATCGAGTCATGTTGACCATATTGTGAGCTCAGCTTTACGTACGCTTGGTATCACGTGCCGCATTACTAAAGAGTTTAATAACCCTAGTACTTTTGTCACACTGTACAGTGCTTTATGTCGACCACACGTCGAGTATGCCTCTGTTGTATGGAATGGAATCTGCGCGACAACCTCGGCTAGAATCGAACGTGTTCAGAATAAGTTCTTATGTATCTACAGACATCGTTTCCCGTCGCGCAATGCGTCCACCTCAAACGATGATCCAGGAGTCCCAGTCCAACATAGCTTGGCATTGCCCACCCTGCGGCGTAGGAGAGAACATGCCGACATCCTATTTCTGTACAAACTTATTCATGGCGTCACTGACTGCACATCATTGATATCAAATGTGCGTTTGAAAATTCCCGTAAAAACTACAAGGCAAAATGCATCCTTCTACAATGCTCCCGTAACTAATCTTCACGACCCCGTGTCGAGAATTGGGCACACCTACAATTCCTCTTTTACAGACTCTATTGATATATTTAACAATAACACACCGGAGTTCATCAGAGCGCTGAAGTTCCTCACCTAAATTTGACTTCCCTTTTTTTTTTTTTTTTTTTGCTCCTGATTAAGTTCCTCAGAACCAATTTTTATACCCTCGCTTTCCTTTCCTTTCGCTATCGTGGTGGTATAGCCTAGCGAGTTTATGTGACATATGTGATCTTTTTTAAGTGTTTTATTGTTTACTGTTTCTTTGTTGTGTGTAGTGTTGATTTCCATGTTTCCTGAGTGCACCTGTACTAAGACCGCAAGGTTGTTCCTGGGCACTTCAATAAAAACATTGATTGATTGATTGATTGATTATAATAATAATAATAATAATAATAATAATAATCAATCAATCAATCAATCAATCAATCTTTATTATACAGTGCCCAGGAACAACCCTGAGGTCTTGGTGCTGGTACACTGGTGGATAAAAAAAAACAAAAAACAAAAAAACACACTATACACATCTCCGCAGAAAATAAGATACATTTTTAGCATAATACTAGGCAGTGCACGAGTAATTAGTACAATGAAATAAAAACGAGGCAGTAACAGTAGAGACGGAACACAAGACCGAAGGACAACAACTGCACCACCAGAAAACACGACATGGAGATGACGACATTCAGACATAACAAAGCAATTCAGCAATGCTCATCCTGCACGGGCAAGTTTTTAATAGAAAGGACAAACGTCCTCTAGCAAGGGTTGAAAATATCAAGTTTTTCAGAGTAATGATTCAAACGCTGAGCCATTCTCACAATTGGGTTTACCGGACTAAACATTCTAGAAACATAAAAAGATGACAGAAGACGAGTAGGCACACGTGGGACCCTAAGGCACAGTTCAGATAACAGGCTCGGAGAATTGATGAGTCCATGCAGCGTTTTAAACAACAATAATAATAATAATAATAATAATAATAATAATAATAATAATAATAATAATAATAATAATAATAATAATAATAATAATAATCAATCAATCAATCAATCAATCTTTATTATACAGTGCCCAGGAACAACCCTGAGGTCTTGGTGCTGGTACACTGGTGGATAAAAAAAAAAAAAAAACACACTATACACATCTCCGCAGAAAATAAGATAAATTTTTAGCATAATACTAGGCAGTGCTCGAGTAATTAGTACAATGAAATAAAAACGAGGCAGTAACAGTAGAGACGGAACACAAGACCGAAGGACAACAAGTGCACCACCAGAAAACACGACATGGAGATGACGACATTCAGACATAACAAAGCAATTCAGCAATGCTCATCCTGCACGGGCAAGTTTTTAATAGAAAGGACAAACGTCTTGTAGCAAGGGTTGAAAATATCAAGTTTTTCAGAGTAATGATTTAAACGCTGAGCCATTCTCACAATTGGGTTTACCGGACTAAACGTTCTAGAAACATAAAAAGATGACAGAAGACGAGTAGGCACACGTGGGACCCTAAGGCACAGTTCAGATAAGAGGCTCGGAGAATTGATGAGTCCATGCAGCGTTTTAAACAAAAATAGTAAGTCCGCGTTCTCCCGACGCCGGTGCAAGCTAAGCAAACCAACACGCTCTAACGCAGACTCATATGTTAAACAGTGAACATCCTCCTTTATGTAGCGATGTTTAAAGATTGAAACAAACTTTTTTTGCACACGCTCGATCTCCAAGGAGTGACTTTTAGAAATTCCATTCCAAACAACTGAGGCATATTCTAACTGTGACCTGGATAGCGAGCAGTATAACGTGATAAAAGCCGTCGGGCTTTTGAACTCCCTGGTTAAGCGAGAGGCAACACCCAACATTCGCAAAGACGAGTTAACCAGCCTACCAACGTGATCAGAGAAACGCAACCCAGAATCAACAATGACTCCGAGATCTTTCATTACACTTACTCGAGACAAAGTCTCTCCTTGAATATTATATGCAAAAGAGATATTGTGAGTTTTCCGAGAGAGCGTCATGACCTTGGTTTTGGACGGGTTCAAGAAAAGGTCATTTTCAGAGCACCATCGGTAGAAAGAACATGCATCTTCCTGGAGCTTAGCACAATCACGTTCAGTAACTATTTCTCGATAAATTTTTATATCGTCAGCATATTGCAGGAATGAAGAATTTAAAACAGCAAAAGAGACGTCATTTACGAAAATTGTGAACAGAAGGGGTCCTAAAACAGATCCCTGAGGAACGCCAGAGCGAGTCCTGTACAACGAAGAGTTCATGTTGTTAACCCGTACATATGCCTCTCTCTCTGACAAGTAGCTTTTTAACCAGTCATGTACTGAGCCACATACTCCATAGGAGGAAAGTTTGGATAAAAGAATAATGTGATTGACTACGTCAAAAGCCTTACTTAAGTCAAAGTAGACAACGTCTAACTGACCTCTGTTACATATTACACGAGATGCAGCAGACATAAAGCTAACAAGATTGGTAGTTGTTGATCTGCCGCTCATAAAACCATGCTGATTGGGAATTGCTAAGTTTCGAAATTTGAAAGACAGGAATTGATGAACTACCATTTCAAAGAGCTTAGAAAATGGAGAGAGAAGAGAAATAGGTCTATAGTTACAAATATCACCTTTTTTTCCCGACTTTAAGACTGGAACAACAGCAGCGACTTTCCACGTTTCAGGAAAGGTTCCCAACCTTAACGAGTTG